AGCAAGTCTAGGCCATCACCACGGTGAGCGCGATGCGCCTCGCCTTACGCGTCATGTACCAGGAACCCGTCGATGGAGATGGCGGGCGACGACGACGAGGAAGAGGTGGCGCAGGGGACGGTCACGCGAGGAAGACGATGCTGTCTTCGTCGGTGGAGCTGAACAACTGAATTCCCAACCGGAAACCCCCGTCTTTTTCGGATGCCATACAAACGCCAAGACAACGCGCCAAACCTTCTATTTTAAAGCGTAGCCACCACTCAGAGGCACGCGCCAATCGCACGCGCCGCGAGAAAATTTTCCGCCAATCACAACGCGTGATGCACTTCGCATACAAACGCCAAGTACACGGCGCGCGTTACGTAATGCACCGCTCGGCATACAAACACCAAGGTCAAGCATGGCGGGCGCCGTGCTTTTTTCTCCGCCGCGCGAGAAATTCCCGCCCACGTCCCACACGCTGCGCGCGGATCCTCGGATGTTAAGCAAGCTTGAAAGCTTGGATGAGAGGGAGCGAGGCCAGGAGTACATACTATGGACAGACTGCACATTGGCATGTCCGCCGTGTAGTCGCAGTACACGCGAATGCACCTCCAACGAGCGTGCACAAGGCGCTCGTGGCTGCCAACGTCTCGAAAATTCGAATGGCTTGCGTTCGAAATCGAACAAACACACTATTTGGAATGCTTCGTCAACGGAGATTCGAAAAGAACGCAAATGGTGTGGGTGGAAGAGCGTAAATGTCCGGTCGCGTGTGTGAAAAAGACGGTAACGTTACCAGTACTTGTAACCGCGCCGGCAGTGTCCATGTCCATACATGGAACCGGTAGCTCATGTCACTGCATTTATAAAAGGCCGGGCCTGTGGAATAGGGAGGTACAAGGCGCGCGACCGCTCGTGCACGCAAGATCAGACGCCGAGCGATCGGAAGTGATCAGTGGGAAACGATTTACGAATCGCGCAAGAGAAAACACGGAGAAGCACGAATCTGGAAAACATTCGTGTCGAGTGAGTTCTGTGTTCTTTCTTATTCGGCGGCAACCGCCAGCAAGGCGAAACCCCTGGCGCCGCAGGAGCTGCCATTGTAATGGCCGATGCTATCCGACGTTAACTTACTACTGTAAATGCCCGACGGGCGCCACTTTGGGTGCCGCATCAAGTGTCATATACTCGCAGAATGGGATCCTCCTCTTACGGCGGGTGTACTCTGACATCCTGCACGCATGACAGAGACATCATGACGTGACCATGATGGACGGAAGATATGATTTTGGCGCGCTTTGATTGGCAATGGGAGTCGATTTGGCGTTTTCTTGGACAAAACTCAAAACGACCCCTGAAACTCAAAGCGACCCGCCATGGAGAGTGCTGGCGAGAATCTCTGTCTCGATGGCGCGTGAAACAAAACGAGCTTCTGCGCTTTTGAGTTGGACCGCCATTTTTTGGCGTTGGATCGCCATTTTGGAGTTGGCCCGCCATGTTGGAGCGCCATGGCATATCTCCATGCGAGGTCTGTGCCTGTCCAAGTGGCCGCGACCCCAACCTTGCAGCACCAGCGGCATTTCCCAGCCTTGGCGCCCACACTGACCACTGCAAACTCAATAGTCATTGAGTCGTCCACGCCTTGTCGGTCCATACTGAAAGTCATATACTTGATCGTTGAGGTCACTTCTATATAAAAAACAAGGTAATTGGTCCGGTTGTAAAACTCAAAATCCGAACCGTTTTGAGCCCACGCGTCGGCGGCAACACGCATTCCGACATCGCTGGGAAGACGCGATGGTCGCAGCGACGATGGCGCCCAACCCGCAAGAAGCCCCGCCCATGATGCCGTCTCAAGAGAGGAAGGAGATGGAGGGACCCGTCGAGCGGCAGGGATCTCTGAGCGCCTTGCAGCGCGTCGTGCAGGCGGCGAACGGCGTCAAGCAGCTCGGCCTCTTTGCCTCGCTCCTCGCAACGACCACGCTGCCTGCCAACCGTGTCTGGACCGCGGCCAACGCAGGCGACGACATGCTCATGCTGCAGCACTTGGCGGGTTTGCCCAACGACGCCGCCCAACTGCGCCCTGTGCTCGAGTACGTCAATCGCCACGGACAGACGCCGCTGATTGCCGCCTGCGCCAAGGGCCACGTGCGGTGCGTCCAAGCGCTCCTCATGCACAGCGCCAATGTGTACGCGCAAGA